TGCACTGACGATAACATTCGAGTCACACAGCTAATGCATCTGTTTTTGTCAAAGATAAATTGCACGCCAGACTTTGAAAACCACCGCAGGTCATTTAACTAAACTTAATGTTTTTTTCAAGACACAGCCTGAAAGACTTTTCTCTCAATCTGCACATGAACGTCAGTGAGCTGGGAAATAAACAGAAAATATGAGTAACCTGTTTCCTAAATTGCTTTCTCTCAGACAAACACAGATGGCAGCTGGCGGTGGCATAAGCCCCTTGCTCATGATCTTTTATTTGTATTGATCTGTACTAATCTTATTTTAAATCCTTATATCTTCATATAATGAGAAAATAAACACTCCATAATTCTTCTTACAAAACAAGAAGGGTGATCACTTCCTGCTGCCATCCGTCTTTAGTTTTAAGAACCAAAATCACATTTTTGCAGGTTTCATATGCTTGGTTTAGTTTGTTAGCATGTTTACTAACTAGCAACAAAGCTAAAGGGAATGTTGGGGGTTTGGAGAGTATTCAAATGTTGACCTAAAGATGGCTTTAGGAGATTAATTATTGCAATTCACCCAGAGGGTTACATGAATGTCTGTGCACAATTTCGTGTCAATCTGTCCAATATTTGTGCAAACACCTGCAGCCATTTTATGCTAAGTTTTCATGTTTTAAATTGCTACTTGTTAGTTTTAGCAAGCATAATTTGCAGAAACATATTCCTCTTAAGGGCAGCTGATAAATGGCACCTCAGCTAATGATGCTGTTGTGTTATCTTGATAATAATAAGGTTAGCCCTTAAAAGGAATCCAGCTATAATTATGCATTTTCAGGATGTCTTTTTGCATTAAAGTTGTAGAAATAAGTGTCAAGTGTTTTACTTTAATTATATGTTTCTGTATCTAGATGACAACACTGCTCTGGTAATTATTAGGAATAAGTTGGGGCTGCCTGCTAGAGTTACAGTAAAGGGACTTTTGCACGGTCTGCATCTGTTTGATTCAAACTTGAAATTTAAAGAGTACCTGTCACCGTGATAAATAATGTTGTGTTTGTGAAATGCTTTTAATTGCAGAGGAAGTGGCTGCTCTGCCATGTGTGCGACAGGGTGGAGAGAAAGTGTCTCTTCTCAGGAAACTCTGCAGGTGTTGTCTGATCTTCATGTGGTGTTACATGTTGCAGAATTCAGACAACCGGGAATAAATTGTTAAGGAGACAATACATGAAAGTGCATTCATGCAGTCTATGTGAAGAGTTTTCTTGCAATACATTTGATTATTGATAGTGTTATTGGAGCAGCTATCCATCAGGTTCACTTCAAATTCATACATTTATGAAGACATAGCCATATCAGAGTCTTAAGGGCTACAATATTTCACAAAAAATACCCTGCTCCCCTTATAGATTATACACGGTTCTCCAAATACTTTTGTACTTAACAGTCCTGTATTAACCTTTATTTGCTCACTTTTGATGTCTTTGTTATTCTAATAATAATAATAACTATTATTATTATTATGATATAATGACTTATTGTTATTTTTGTATTATTATATATATTATGTATAAGTGTCCTGTATTTACCTTTGTTTTTCCAGCTTTTAAAGCTGTTACATCTATTCCTGTGTAAGTACAATTGAACACTTCAACACAGGTGTCAAAGTGGCCATTGAGTTCACAATCAAATTAAATAACTCTGATTTACAGTAGCAAAAGCACAGGTGTGAATTAACAAATGATTGGGACCTCATTAGTTTTTATCTGTGACACCTGTGCCGTACTGTCAAACTGTCTCCTGCAGAAACGTCTTTTTTTAAACGATAAATACGTGTTTGGTTACTTAAAACACACATCATTGGAATACTATTGGCATGTTTGGAGTCTACTCGCCTTAATGTAAGTAAATATTCACTTTCATTTAATGTTTGTTCTCCTGAGGGGAATATGTTTCTGCTAAAAGCTACAGAATGCTAACACTAGTCGCTAGCTCTGTTGCTACATACTGTAAGTAGCTAGCTTACAGTCACGTTTACTCGTGGCTTCTGTGACTTGGCATTCCATTAAGTTATTCCTGTATTTAAGGAAGAAAGTTGCCCAATATTTCATAAGTCAAAATGCTAAATCAGCATACTTAAGTGTGCAAGAGATGCTTAGCTTTGTACAGCAAGGTGACATCATGTGTATCATATTAAGTTCTTCTTTTTTATATATCCTCAATGCTACTGTGCAGTGTCCTCACTTCACACTATGCTACAAATGTTTTTTTAATTGTTGGTAATGCATGCACAGTTAAACAATAAGGAGATGCACTGTTTTAGTGAGTTTTATAGGGTCCGGTGGAATACTTTTGTAACTTTAGAGAGCTCTCATGCAGTCTTTATGCTGAACGAAGCTAATTGCCTTTTTCTTTCACCTCCTCACTGTTCGAGGACATCTCATGTCCCCCATATAAAAAATCGAATAGTCCATGCCCAAAAAGCTAAAACATGCACGTTGTTGTGTTAATAAACATACTTGTCGTGAGACAAAATGTATATGAAGTTGTAGAAAAAGTGGTTTCAAAATATTATTTAAATGATCAAATAGCTCTCGAACACCCCCTAAAATATAATTTTTCTCTTGTCCCCGCTTCTTGGTGACCAATTTGCATGTCAAATATAACATTTAAAATAGGGATTTTATTTACTTTTGTTGGTATTATTCTATTGATATGTCTCTTGTAATGGTAAAATCAATTTGTTAAATCATAAACATATTTTAAATAACAGTAATTTTGCACAGAAGGTGTGTCCCTCAACATGCGTTCACATGGTTCAACCCTGGCTATTACCCAAACCTTTTTAGATTGGCAGAGGAAGTGAACAAACTGTAAATCAGATGATTTAGGCCCAATCCCAAACCACTCCCTCGACCCTACCCCTCCGTGACGGAGTGAACTCCGTCTGTAGCCACACTCGCAGCTCAACGAGGCTCCCTCCTGTCAGATGGAGGGTATAAACAGGGGTGCACATAACTTGTTTGCCCTGGTTCTGAAAGGAGCACCTGGAGATGTTGCTTGGTGCTCATCCTTAAATTGAAATAAATAAACCGGTCTTTATTTGTCAGACACACGGCACAGAACACACAGAGGTGAATACAGAACACACAGAGGTGAACACAGAACACACATGCAGAGGTGAACACAGAACACACATGCAGAGGTGAACACAAGACAACATTAGCACGACCAGTAATCCTACAAGCTGTCATCACTACCCTCCTGACTGTTCTCCTCACTGTCTTCCTCTCTGTCAGACATGGTAGCTGATGATGTAGGCCTACTACTTTCTCTCTGGTTGATTCTGCGATTAGCTGCTTGCATCCACAAGTCAACAGCTGGTTTTGGGTCGAAAGTCCAGTTTTAAAAGGATATGTTTGGTTACTGTCCTATAGTATACATTGGAATGATTTCAAACCTGTTTATCCCAATAATTATAAAGGAGTGCCTTGAAAATATGTGTTTACATAAATTGTGACCAAACCGTTTGAACTTAGACTAAAGTGAACTATCTAAACACTCAGAGTCCTTTACCTCACTGAGCTGTAGTTATCAGCCTCTCAGTCTGACTGGAGAGGACTCTCCCTCCACATCATTGTAGAAACATCTTCTTCTTCCGTTAGAGCAGCTAGCACCAGATGCTAATAACAACAGCGCCCTCCCTTTCTCCCTCGCTCACTCCCACACTCACTCGCATTTTGGCTGTGAGCTGCGGGCGCCATATAAGGCCCTGAGTTCATATGCAACTCGCAAATATCTTTCTCTCTCTCTCTCTCTCTCTCTCTCTCTCTCTCTCTCTCTCTCTCTCTCTCTCTCTCTCTCTCTTCTCTTTTCTCTTCTCCTCTCTCTCAATGTTGGTACGCAAATGCGCCTTTTTTCAAATGACCTGGTGCTCTTTTTTTCACCTGCTCACCAGTTATGTGCAGCCCTGGGTATAAATACAGCAGTAGGAGCCAAAATACTTGTTTTTGCCTTACTTATTATTTGTATTATTATCTTGTATTTCTGTTTGCGTCACGTTTAATTCTTATTGTTTATCACTTCCGGCAATGGTCACGTGGGTGTGGTTTATTGGTATTTAGTCACCTGTTGGATGCCGGTTGGGAGGATATGATGTAGGAAGAGGGTGAATTTGCTCCGATACTTTCTGTTGAGCGTCAGGTCTGGAGTTGTATATTGTTTGTTTTCGTTTTATTAAACACCATGGACTACAAATGAATACGGACTCTTACATGGAACGCGTCACAGCAAAGAGCATTTTTTGCTTTTTTGCCGTTCCATGTAAGAGTCCGTATTCATTCTCCTACAGTGGGTGTTTGCTGGAACTACTTGTAAACAGCTTGTTTCCTGACGGACACACACAGCGTTGAGACCTTGAGACCGGTCAGGTAGAGACCGGGGTTGCGTTCCAATAATCCAAAAATCAGCTCCTAAATTCTAACCCTATCTCCTATTCCTTGACCTCTGAGTGAAACGTCACGGGGTTAAGGGATAGTGGATAGGAGAATTCAAAAGGACTTAGGAGAAGAGACTGCGGTACTTTAGAGAATCCGGCCGTTTCTCAATCGCAAGGAAACTGGCTTCCAACCAAGCCAATATTTCAAGGATACTACGTCATCGAGTGCTGTTCCAATCTCCAGCATACTTGGAATTCCACCGAGGCCGCGTCCTTGGTTTGGGGGTAATTTCGAGGCTACACATGTGTAGCAGGATGAGCAGTAAATAGTGTTGTAAGGCATATTCTGTTTAGCCTATCACCGCCAGGGGGCACCTTATAAAGGGGCAGAGGCTTCTAGCTGGCGGCCTCTTGTTCGCTGGTGCCCAGACCTACCCACTTCCGTTCTTGCCGTGTTTTGCTTCCGCCACCGGCGTAGGTATGTTGTAGGAGAATAGCTGGCTTCAGGTAAAGTTTCACAATTCTCTATCATACTTACGTGTAGTCACGTTTTGTTTTGTATAGCGGAGGGTCTTCCTGGCGATGCCTGTCAAGTAGCCGTAACATAGAGAGCATGAAACTCTCTCCTCTCTGCCTGATCGGTATGTACAGCGATTTGTTCAGTCCATTCACCACACCTTTCCTGAACATTAATATTATACTTGTGTGTTTATTGTTAATCTAGGGCCAAGCTAAGGCTTTAAAGAACCGCTGCTGTTTTGCTGCACCGAAAAGAGACGGGTTTCTGACGCAGGGTCATCACCCGTACTGCTGATCCTGTGTGACTGTTTTTATAAATTGTATTTTTACTATTGTATACAAATAAACTGTTCTATTTTTGATAATTGGACCACGTCTCTTGTTCCATGAGTAACCGAACCTGTGTGTCCTAGTGACTTAAAACTTGTCACATTTCCCTGGGTGAAATTCCCGGGGTGGCGTTGTCGGACTTAGTGGTTTAACCAAACTGCTACACATGGGTAGACTTTGCGTCCTTCAAATCCCCACAATGCTTTGTGCACGGACCAATTTCCCCAAATCTGTGGCGGAAAATGTAAGGCGGGGCCTCTCATATGACGCACACCTGCACACTTGCTAGCCTGTTCCACTCTTCGTTTTCCGAATGCCAGGAAGGATTCTTGCCTAGCTTCTGAAGGAAGTGACTCGGAAGACATGTGCTACCAAGCAAGCATCCTCGCGATTGAGAAACGGCCTCCGACTGCACTTTCACTATCCGACGTGTTTATGATGCGCCAGCGGACGTCATGAATGTGCGTCTGCTGCTGTGGGGAAACTATGGAAACTACAGTTTTCTATACAGAGGACTACAACATGGATGTATAATAAGAAGGAGGGACTACTGTAACTGATCTAGAGACTCTGCACCGTGCTCTGATGCTGTTGTTTTATGCTTTATGAACGGGGACAACAGAGAAACATATTCTTCATGACCAAAGTTGGAATTGAAATAAAAAAGGAACGTGAAACTTATGCTCGCCACCCTCTCCCTCCGGTCCACATTAATACAAATGGTCCCAATACGTATGATTGTATGAACTATGAAAATATCTTAAAATCAATACAAATGTATTTATTATAAACGTTAGTCCTTAACATCTATCACTGTGTATATCACCATTCAAACATCTTTTAAAAGTTGAACAAACCCCACACAGCTCAGTAAAGACTGTGAAATGTTGACTTTATTTGATCATTTCAGTAAAAACTAACTATTCATATTTCTCTTTTTGATTATAATACTGATGAACGTTCAGAACAAAGCACTTTGGCAACTTACCACATACGTTTTAAAATGCTTAATAAGCACCGTAACTTTCATGATATAATTTCTCGGTCATAATCGGTTGTTTCCGTGAACGGCCGACTGTTGAGTGACGGCAAATGCTGCGGCTGCAATGCATTGTGAGGCAGCATTTTCTCCTCTCCTTTTGTCAAGGGAGGTCCAGTGGTTCCTAAGCTAAAGGAGGTTATAAAGGAAGTTTGAAACCTCCTTTCCTTTCATTTAGAGAATTGGAACGGCACTTATCATGGCTGCCACTGACGTACTTCCGAGTCATTTCACTTGGTTAGGAAGGTTCCTAAGCTAAATGGACTATTGGAACGCAAACCCGGGGCCGTTTCTCAATCACGAGGATTTTGGCTTCCAAGCCAATATTTCAAGGATGCTACGTCATCGAGTGCTGCCGAAGGACTGTTCCAATCTCCAGCATACTTGGAATTCCACCGAGGCCGCGTCCTTGGTTTGGGGGAAATTTCAAGGCTGCACATGGGTAGACTTCGCGTCCTTAAAATACCCACAATGCTTTGCGCACGGACCAATTTCAAAAACCCTTGCGGAGAATGGCTGAACCGACGCAGCACACATTTAAATGTAAGTATGTAGTGGCATAGAACATGTGTTGGTAAATATGTTACTTTGTTACATTTGTTATCACCAAAAATGTGTTCCGTGAAAGTAAAGCAAGTTCATAATTAGATAGACATCGTGAGGTATTTATTTTCGGTACAGTTTATGTTGAAACCGTTAGAGGACCGTGGAGGACCCATCAGTGTATCCTCGGTTATAGCTCCTCCAGAGAGCCTCCAGAGAGCCTCCTCGACGCTCGATCCTCGAAGTGCATTTAGAGAAATGAGATGTCCTTCAGGCTTCAACATGGCGCGCTGAAATTCATTTCCGGGTCACTACCGGAGGACCAAGGAGTCGAGGAGTCGAGGAGGGGGATTTGATGAAATGAGAAAGGGCCCGGCATAGATATATATATATATATATATATATATATATATATATAAAAACACTAGATGGCTCAAGGGGGAGTCACCAGCGTAGCTCACTGGCGGCCATCTTGACACAGTCAACAACTACTGCTACAGCTGTTGTAAGGTGAGTGATCTGCACAAAAATACTCTTAACTCGCTGAATTCTTGACTGATTTACAAACGGTTTGGTTTATTATAAACGTTATTAGCATGGCTATGATACAGGAGACAACAAGAAATGTTGGAGAAAAAAAGTTCATGACCATAATTATAAGTATGCAGTTTCATAACTACATCTCTGATGTTTATAACAAACGAAACCGTTTGAAAATTGGTTGAAAATTGAGCAATCTTCGGTTATTTCAATAGTGCACCATAGACACAGGGATCGCACAATCGGGCACGGGTACGGACACATCTGCCCCCAGTCACGTGACTTTGTTTACAATCTGACAGCTGAAAGCAAAGGAAACCCCTCCGAGTCCGGTCCGGCCTCATATGACTATGGTGATCATGTGCCTGACTGGCTTTGGTTGCCAATCCTCGAGTCAATCTGTCCCCGGATATGTCCCCGTTTTTAAATATGCTTAAATTGATTTTGAGTTTTCTCATGGCAGTTAGAATATAAGGGACAAACCAGGAGACTTTACTTCCTCTTGACACCGTCGGCTATTTACAAAAAAAACACCTAAATATACTTGTTATTGTGCTTCTGTGTCTTTTCATCTGCTCCGTAAACTCCCTCTCTCTCTGTCCCGCTTCATTGTAGGATTTCTGCCATGTCTCTACTTTAGTTTGACCATCTCTGTTATTAAGTTATGGAATACTAAATACATAAGTAATTAGATACCTTACCGTTACTGCTCTCATAATGAATGACAAGAATAAGAATAATGTGTATTGAATTGGTTTAATCAATTAGTGAGTTTATTTAAGGCACAGCAGTTACAATGGTCAAACTACATGTAGCGACAGCAGGAAACAAACTAAGTCGCTGAGAGGCTGAGGCCGGGCCTGTTTGCTGTTGTATGACACGCTAAAAAAGTACTTGCTGATATCCAAAGCTCTGTTTCGTAGTATGGTAGTTTAATGAAAAAACTCTGTTCTCAGACATATACAGGGGCGCCGCCAGGGATTTTGGGCCCCATGAAAATATATCACATTGGGCCCCACCACCAGGCACAGGCCACGCCAACCAAGCAATTGCTGTAACCACACCTCCAGAACCCAACCGACTCATTTATGCTTTAAATAACTCTACCTGTACAGGCTTGCATCTATCTTGTAGTCCAATACTAACTGCACAATATTTACTGACACTGAGCGGTGAACATATAACACTGTGCAGACGTGCAAATATTCTTCTGCAGTAGAATTCACTATTTGATATAACACTAACATTCCTGACAATAGACCTCAATAGTCATCTTTTATGGTGTACATGCCTTTTTAATAACATTTTTGAATGGAACATTCATGAATCTAAATAAATATAACTTAAATATACATGACCTCTTAAATTAAAATAAAGTGAACATTAACACCAATATTATCATTTATTAAATGCTATAAAAAAAAAAACATAAGCAGCAGATTTTGTATTAAATATACATACCAACTACAAAATAAGCGGGTATTAAAGTGTAAACGGACAACAAAACGGAAATGGAAGTGAAAAGGCCTGATGGTGGTGCTAAATCAGAGCCTATTACCTGTTCTCAGTCTTTTTCTCATCATGCATCTTGTGTGTAGTGATCCAATATCGTTACCATAGCCTTGCCCTTTAACAGTTATTACGAGCCCTTGCTCAGCCTTACTCACCAAGAGCCCACCGCCTGGCCTTCTTACAGGCAAAGTCACTGATCAAGTCCTTGAAGTCCAGCTTTCTAGCCAACTGGCTTTCAATGCATGGCATGGCATAGCATGGCATAGCATGGCAAGACTGCAAAGCCTTAATGGGGGGACAGTGCTGCGGAGCCTAAAGATCCTAAAGATAAAGTTGGTCCTGGCACCAGGGGAGGGACAACTGGTTTAGTATGAATAGCTGCTAAAAATGTACCTGCATTTATTAAATGTCAGCTAAAAGAGGAGTGAAATAAAAAACCTCTGAATTTTCTGTGAAGATATTAACAGAACTTAATGTCAGCAAAACATTACAATTATTATTTACAATGGACTACGCTTAGCTAACAGACTAATTTCCACCACTCATGGACCACTCCCACCTTTTCTCTTGAAAAACTGGGTGACATACTGTCGCCCTTTAGTCCCTCTCTCTTGTCTTTCTCTCCTTTCTTTTCTTTTTTGAAAGTCTGACTTTGTTAGTCGTTGAGACATCGTACACACGTAACTACTAGCATCCCTGCTCACATGCTCTCACTCTCTGCCAGAAAGATGCGCCGGCCAATTACCTCACCAAGATAGATGCCGCCTATCATAGTGCACTAAGGTTTGTGACAGACTGTAAGACTTTGACTCATCATTGTACCCTGTATACAAGGGCAGGGTTGCTTTCACTTACTGTACGGCGGCTAAATCACTGGTATCTTTTTATTTATAAAGCAATGTTAGGGAAACTTCCGTCTTACATCTGTTCCCTGATCTCACAGCGTATTGTAAATGGCTACTGCCTGAGATCTAAAGCTGTGGTTGTATTACATGTGCCAACTGCTAGGACTGTATTAGGAAATACAGCTTTTAGATGCGCAGCGCCGCTAGCATGGAACAGTCTACAAAAGGAATGGAAGCTAAGCAGTTTGATTCCATTTCATGTTTTTAAAGCTAGGATAGACGCTATACAATCAGAAAATATTGGTGTCTGTAAATGCTACTAGTATACAAACTGTAGTATCATATAATGTCCTTTGTTTTCTGTCATGTTTGTATTAATGTTTGGAACTAATTGAAGCAGGTCACCATTGTAAAAGAGGTCTATGATCTCAATGGGTTTTATCTGTATAAATAAAGGTTTTGAATTGAATTGAATTGAAAGAGCGGTGCTGCACAGCGTTTGGAGGCAGGACCAAACCATTACATGTAAATAGAGGGGGATTTGCAGAGGCTTTGGATAAT